AGTGGTGTGTGAGTGAATGGTGTGTGAGTGAGTGATGTGTGAGTGAGTGGTGTGTGAGTGTGCCCTGTGATGGGTTGGTGGCTCATCCTGAATTATTCCCTGTCTTGTGCTCATGGTTTCTGGGACAGGCTCCGGACCCCCACGACCCTGCATAGCTCTAGAGGTTATGTAAAATGTATGAATGAAGAATCTTCCGCCTCCCCAGTTCTCCTCACATCACACTCTTCCATCTCTGTCGCTTCTTCGTACCTTCATCCGACTAACCAAAACATTTCGCTTGCTGGATCCCACAGATCTGAAGAACATACTCATTAGTGACTCGAGGCAGTTGCAGTCGTGTGCAGAGCATCTACTGTACACTGTTATCTGCCCCAACTACTAAAAGTGTCTAATGAGGCAATAAAAGTACTCAGCTACATTTCATGCAATCTGAACTCCGTGCTCTTTCGCCTCTGACTAATTAGATGTAGGGAGCAATTTAGCAGTGAATTTAGAGAGGAAAGAAGAGGTATGTCCATAATAGAGAAAGCATGCATACCACCCGTCAGTATATAAGATTCTAACAGGTCTGGATGCTGTTCAGCCAAATGGAATAATCTTCCTGCTAGTGTAGCGGAAGTGAAAACCTTGGGCTCCTTTAAATCAGAGCTAGATAAGACTTTAACAACTCTGAGCTGTTAGTTGAGTTCTCCCCAAACAAGCTTGATGGGCCGAATGGCCTCCTCTCGTTTGTAAATTTCTTATGTTTTTATAAAACAAACATGCACTTATGATTATTATGATTATTATTGTGATGAGTGAAGGTCATGATGATGATGGTAATAACCTTGCCACTTTGGATATCTAACACTAAAGTTCATATCAAGGCAAATTTCACATGCAAACGCAGCCCAGTTCACAGAGACAGTGCTGGTAATCTAACATTATGCAGTAGTACGTACTATACTTAAGATCAACAAGCCCACAAGAATACCGGGATAGACACTGAATTCTCAGTAGTCTGACACTAATGTGCTGTCTACACAACAGAAAATCACAGAATTGCTCACCGGTCAACTAAGACATGCGATGAACAGCCTCTCTAATAGAATTCCCATAAATAAGGAACTCAAAGGCGGAGAATGTGGGGGAAGTGGATGATTTTACTCACTAAAAGACCATTAGAAATCCATTAAATCTAGACGTTAATCTTCTGCAAGGGAGTTGGAGAGAAGGAAAAAAAAGAATAAAATGGACGGAAGTGGTCTAGGGCCAGTGGAACGTTGTGAAAAATCAACTCATTACGGCAATACCAGATTCGAGCAGGTCAACTTGTTAGGCCCACAAAAAGACGAGTTTCAATGGAGCTTCAATCACATCCAGCACAAAGGCTGCAAACAGGAAGCAGCCCTTCTGACCAAATGAGGCTGGCCCACGTCTGCTCGACATCCACGCTGACTTCTGTATACTTTCTGTTATCACACAGCTTTGCACACAGGTGCAGGAAAGAATCTTACCAAAGCGGCTTTGCTGGAAGAGCCAGTGGAGGTCCAGTTATGTATTGTCATATTTTTTCCCAGAATGGAAGCCGTCCAGACATTTTTCTAAAGGTCACCTTGAGAAATCCCAATCCAGGTACAGCAGTGAGCAAGCCGGATATGAACCCATGTTTTACCTTGAATCCTGATAGGGACATAACTACAAATGTAGCCGAACAGAATCAAAGACGCCTGGTAGCAGGCTGTGCATAATTGAACTGTTGTCGTTCAAGATGCTTCATTCAACTTCAATTTGTATAAATTGGCATAGTGTTTTGATTGGAAGTAATAATAATAAATAATAATAATAATCTCCATACTGTTTCTGCAGTACAGGTTGATGGTGTATAATGATAATTTTTCCCAAAGATAGAAAAATACAAAATATAGTAACATCCACCTTGCATTAAAGTCACAAAGAGTGGTTCTCACCACGTAATTCCATCAGGAGCCGGACTGAGTAAACCACTCTGCAAAGGGAGGTATGGGAAGCCATTAGTGCAGACACAGGTCACCGAGTCTGGACCAGAATCTTACATCCATCATTTTCTCATTATTATTAACAATATGGCCCCATTCCTTGGCCACAAAAAGTCATCAGACAGGAACCAAGCCCACTTTGCAGGGGATGTTTTATTGTATTAATTGCTGTTTATCATTCATTTTAACATAGTTATTTGACTGGATTTCCCAAAAGCTATACCTTCATACTCCCTCAAGACAGAACTGGGTCTTGATCCAGTACTACTTATATCTTCATGTCCTCCCCAGAAGAATAGAGGAACCCAGTCATCTGCTGTTCCTGAAATGGGAAACATCGCACTGCAAATATATTTCACCTGGTTAAGAAAAGTTTCCCCGACTAAGCCCTGCTCAACAGGACCAATGGGTAGAGACAGTTAGCCATCTCAAAGTTACTCCATGATGCCCCGGGGGAAAGGGAGGCAAACACTCCCATTACTGCCCATGCCAATGCCATTTTTTGTGGCAGTATTACTGGAATCAACAGTTTGAAACATCTGTTTCTCTCAAGCTGACTGAATGACGTGTTGGACAAAAATAACATACATTAGCAATGAGTTAGAAGTCCAGGCCGGCTTCCTGTCCTCACTTTCATGTTTCTTCATCTAATGAGCCTTTCCCTGCCCCCTCCCATGCTTGAAAACCACACTGTAAATCATAGCCCCCCCCCCCCCAATAAGAAACCACAACTACCAATAATGGATGTCAGTTCACTGGAGCAGGGGGTGTTTTTATGAGACGGATATGGACGAAGGTGGGTTAACTCAAGGCCGGGGAAGTTATGAGCGCGTATCAGCGTGAGGGCTGACGAGCCCCAACAGGCACATAAAATGATGAACAGCAGTTCAGACAGCAAAAAAAGATGACAGAGGAGAGTGAAAACATTCATAAAGAGGAGTTCTGAGTGTTCATAGGTCTGAGTGGTCAGACTTTCAGCGTGTACATCAACTATGGAACTTAAAGTTAAACTTGCTTAAATAAATATTTGATAATTCGATTTGGCGAATTCTGCGATGTCGGATGGACATTGAAGACTCTCCAGAGGCACCATAGTAAATGTACATTATAATTCACACAAGTCAGACAACGTCAATGCCAGAAACAGGAAGACTCACCAGGAACACAAAGAAAGTGACTGAGTCTTTATTTTTATTTTTTAACAAAACGATTTTATTTTAAGCAAAAAACCACAATACATCACTAACAAGTTTTCAGTTTTTATTTCAAATAATGGAAGTGTGCAGGGCTTCTAGGAAAGTGTAGATTTATTTCCCATCGCTACATCTTCTTAAAACCCAGACCATTTTGAGCATAAATGTACATGCTCAGTACATATGGCGGTACCCAAAAGCACAAAAAGTTGGAATAAAGGGAAAAAAGGGAAAGAAAATGCAATGAAATAACCCTTGGACGTTTTGTGTAACAGAAAGCGGTATTTACACATTTTAATCTGTCTATATGGCCCTCCTACCCCACTACCCATGGGGGTAAAGAAGTCAGTCATGGCAAAGATATCCCATCTTCTTAATCAGACCCAGACTCCTCTGAGCTGGGAGGTGTGCTGACCACCTCCTCCTCCTCCTCATCATCATCTGAGCCCTGGAAGAGAGAGGAAGAGCAAAATCAAGGGCACTTCCTGTCTTAAGGCAATAGACCATCATTCTTGTGCAATGGTCAACTGCTCAACTGTGAACTTCAGGTAACCTCTACTGGAAAAAGTCTACACATCTTGGGGAAAAAACATACATAATTCAGTGAAGGCTTCGGGCCTCTCTGTCACCTTCTGCACCTTCGACTTTGCATTTATATCATGAATTACATCAGCTAACCACCAGGAACCATGTGGGTTGCCAATAAGATGGATGCTGGAAGAGGCCCACATGTTGAACAGACTAAAAATGATTCAGGAAAAATCTCCTAAGTTGGATAAAGCAAGCGACCGTAAGCTCTGGATGATGTTTTAGGTAACAGCGTCAACCGGAACCACCCATACCTTGCGCTTGGTGCCCTTGCCACGTTCCGAGTCGGACGAGCTCTCCTCGCTGGAGATGAACTCCCGGCTCTTGAAGCTGTCGTTGCCACCGGCCCGTTCCCTCTCCCTCTCCTTCTCCCTCTCCCTCTCCCGCTCGCCCCCGCGGCTGCTGGCCGGCGCTTTCTTCTTCCGGTCGTCACTCTTCCCACCTTTCTTCTTAGCTTCCCTGGGACGCCGAGACGAGAGCGAGACGTGAGGGGCGAAACCCGAGACGGCCGAACGCCAAATGGTCTTACTTGGAACTGAACAGAGGCCGCTGGGATCCTCGATTCCCAGGCGTACGAGCCGCCTCTCCCGCCAAAGCACTACTACCCTGGTGCAACGCACAACAGCAGCCCCAAGCAGCAAGGGACACAGGGAGGGTTTTCACAATAAAGTACAAAACACAGGACAGTGTGAAGCAGGGGAACCTGAACACAAGGGTTTATAATCATAGTGCAATGTGAGTGTAAACTGTAAATACAAATAACTGATCAAAGGAAAACGACTAATAAGCATTACACAGAAACAACACTGCAATGAGACTACATGCGTCATCGGGATAAACACAAACGGGAGTGCTGCGAGGGCCCGTACTTTTTGGAGGGGCCCGAAGAGGCCCCGCCGCTCTCCCTGTACTCCTTCATGGCTCTCTCGTAATGCTTTTTCGCCTCCTCAGCTTTCTGCTCCCATTCCTGGGGCACAGAAACACCAACGAGAGAGAGAGAGAGAGAGAGAGAGAGAGAGAGAGAGAGAACGAAAAAGAGCAAGTGAGGGAGAGGTTTGAGGGAGGGAGAGAGACAGAAAGCAAAAGAAAGTGAAAGACGAAGAGAGAGAGAAACAGGAAGAGAGAGAGCGAGAGAGAGAGAGAGAGAGACAGGAAGAGAGAGAGAGAGAGAGAGAGAGAGAG